GATTTGTTCGGTTTTTATCTCATTTTGGTCCTTTTTTGTTAATTTATAAAAATTTGTGTACAGAGGGAAAGAGAGAGAAAGAGTGTTGTTCGTTTCATTGTCTACTAGTAATTCATTTTCTTTCTCAACATAAGCAGAAGGAGAAATAACATTCGCTGTATAATCTAAAATGCATGCGTATGTATATAGAGAGGTTCGGATCTTTTATGGATACAGACATGGTTCTAAATTTGGAATGCGTGTGCTTTTTGTATCTTTAAGGTTAATAGAGTCCATAATCTTGCTTTCAAACATTTCATTTTCTCAAAGATGCATTTCATTTTCTCAAACAGCAAAAAAAAAAAAAAACAAGAGAACATGTCTTGTTTCAAATCCTCTGTTTCTCTGATCTTCATCGTCTTCCTTAAGAGTTTAAACACTGTTTCTTCTGAAACAACTCCAACTTATCTCTACCACATATGCCCAAACACAGCAAGATTCGCAAGAAACAGCACTTGGAACCGTTCTAGAGCTAGTGGATGAAAATTATCTGCAGGTGTGGAAGCTATGGGTAGTGAAATGAAGCTATGAAAGGAGTTTTCAGACAAATGAGATGTATGTTGATGATTCTTCCATCACTATTGGAAATGTAGTTCCCATACATGTTGTGTTGAAACATAATAACAAATGTTTAAGAAGAATGACACCGAAGAAGCTCTGAATAAGAAGATATTAAACAATCAGGAAAATTTCTCATACAAGAAAGCAAGTTGAGAGCAAGAAAAAAGATATGAACTTAAGAAGTGTGGCAAAACCACAATTAGAAACTATAAACACTCTAAAAAAATCTCATGTTGCTATACAAATGAGTGAGGAACTCGAAGCACCAGCTTTTAACCGCAACTTAGGCGAGAGTCCAGTAGCAAACCTGAAACCAGAGTAACATCATTGTTCAATCCAGACCAGTAATATACATAAAGCCTAAGAAACAAATCAAGAAGCAAAATTTATCAAACCTTAAGCAAAGGTTACACATTTAGTGGCTTCCAATTCCAATTCCATCACCACCTCTCTCCTTATGCTTTTTCGGTTTCTCCTCTTTTGATAGAGAGATTCTCAAATTCGTATCTTTCTAGCAGTTTGTCTGCTAGGTATTCCAATCTCACATGCAACCTTCGTTTTCTTCTTTGCCTTCTGACATTCATCTTCCTCTTCAAGGCG